GCATGGGACAACACATTAATGAACCAAATAAGCAACAAGCATATGATAAGCATGCAATGGTGGACTTAAACCATAAAGGGGCAGACCTCAATCCACCCCAAAACAGTGGCCAAAAGTGCCCAAAATGATGGACAGACACTCATGCCAACATGCAAGCCAATGGACCTAAGGCTAAGGCACAAAAGGGGCACTTTACTTCTACCAACATGGCCACTCATGGCATGAATTGGAGAAGTCAAAACAGGGTTTTAGCATGCAAAAATAGACCCCAAAACCTACTAACATGGCAGCTAAAGTGGCTCCAATGAGATGCATGCACCAAAGCTCAATTCTAGGCATAAAAGGGCACACCCTCAAAGCATGAAAGAGGTCTCACATGCAAGCATACAAGCATGATTTATGGGCTGAAATATGACCCTAAATGATGCCAAATCATGAAGGTGGTCCAAGCTACGCATGCTGGAGGCTAATATACTCAAGGTTCACAAGCCAAAACACAAAGAGAGGACACCAAACATGGCAAGCATGACTGAAACAAATGGTCAATAGACCTTGAACATGATGAAATGATGCCAATACCTTCATGAGATTAAGCCAATACATGCAAGAACCATGACCTAAACACAAGATGCATTTCTAGGCCAAATAGAGGAATGTAAAGCAAGTATGTTAAGCATGCAAAGGGGTACAAATCCGGCCAAAAAAAAAGGATCATATGTGACCTAAGGACACCCAAAAAGTTCTGAAATATGGCCAAAAACAATCAAGCATACATGTTCCCCTTTAAGCCAAAAGGCAAGGAAATGAGGCAATGAAGGGAGAGGGGTGTCCTTCCCCTATACATGACTTCAAACCACCTTCCTCACCACTGAAAATCCACTGGTTTTCCATGGTGAGGAGACCAAAATACTCAAGTAAACAAAGCCTCACAAAGGGAGCACCAAAAAGGCCAAATAAGGCCTAAGAGGGTGAGTTTGAACTCAAACCACAAAAGACCCTTAATGAAAGTTCTTAAGCATGAAAATATAAGCCTTTTTTATGTTATGCACAAAAACTAAATCATCAAGCAAGATAGGTAAAAAACTAGTGCAAGTTTGGGGAAACTAAAGCAAAGTGCTTACCCTTGAAGCACACCTCAAGAACAGCCAATGCAACCCTCTTCTTTTGATAAAAAACAGTCCAAAAACTCAAGAATCAACCCTCAAAGCCCCTCAATCTCGGAGCAAGGTGTAATAGTGTGTGTATTAGTGCAAAAGTAAGGTAAAAATACACTTTTAGGCCATGAAACACACACAAGGGAAGAGAGAGAGGGAAATATAGAGAGGGGGTGTATCTATATGTATAAGCTCTGGTTTTGCCTTCAAATTTTCTAACCTAGAACAAGGAGAAGACCTCTCCTCTTATAGAAGTCCCTCTTGCAAGGCTTATACAACAAGCTTGCTTAGAGGGAAATCCCTCCATACACGTGTATGGAGGGAAACAGAGTGGGTGCCAGCTATCACAGCTGGCACAAAATATCTACATAAAGTAGATGAACAGTAGTCGGCTGCCCAAAATTGCCATCGACCAAAAAAAGATAGCCGACCAGCTATCTATAGTGCCGGCCGGCTAAATATTTGGCCGGTGGCCACAAAACACAGCCGGTGGCCTCAAGCCACGGCCGGTGATGGGTGGGGGTGGTCTACAAGCCCTACCCTGCCTCTCAAAGGCAAAACACAAGTGTTTGGTGCAAAACCAAACATAAAACAGTCGAGTCGAGAGGTCTTGAGGCAAGGCGCGTAGCCGAGACCTCCGGGAACTCAAGACGAACACAAACATGGATGATCACCGAGTGTTCAAGCGGTGACGTCCAAGTCTTGAGGACGGTCAAAAATGGGGTGTCTACATACACCTACCAGATTAGAGGCAGAAATTGTGTGCTTTTACAAATGACTACACCATGATTTATAGTAGCAGAAGCAAAACAATTCCAAACCAATATGAAAGACTCATATAATTTTGATGCCCATATAATTTTCCTAAAATCAGATTTGATAACAAATGTCAATGAACAGCCACTACAAACTACAAAACCATAGGAGAATGTAAACAACAAATCCAAAAACAACTGAAATCAAAACAAACAAAAATGACAACCGAAATCAAAACAAACAAAAATCGTACCTTGCCAAGCGTCGGTAGCAAAGAGGCCCACAAACCCAATAATCTCCCAATCCAAATCTTACAAACCGACACTGCTCTAAACACATAAAAGTGACAAACCAACAAATGAGAGAACATGACATACACAATATTCAACGATCAATAAAAACATTCAAAATTACAAACCTTACAAACCCACACTGCTCTCTTTTTTTATATATATGCAAAAGATAAACCCATGTTGGAAGTAAAATTACCCATGTTGGAAGAATAAAAAACCATTAAGCCTCTTGAAAGAGGTGTCGGGTAAGGTGTGCAACCCTCTATCCCACATTTTTTGCCTAAGGGTGTGAGCCCTTTGGGACATCCAAATCTGACCCAGGCCACACATTTAATTCAGTCTTACATTCTCTATTTCTTTTTTGTTGCCTTCTTATTTTATAATTTCCACAAATTTAGTCTCTTTACTAATAACATCAAAAGGTAGTCTGGACACCTCCTACTAAGAAAGAGAGACCAATCTCCATGATGATGATGACAATGATGTGCTCAGTGAGTCTAAGAGTTTTATTCCAGGGTTTGTAACAATTATTGCAAACAACCAAATTTTGATATGTTTAAAACAGCTATAGAACTGGAAATAGAGTTAGCTGTTAGAAAATCTTCAAAGTTTCCAATCTTTCTTTGAGTTCTTAAACTGCAATAATCTGGACAAATACTCTCCAGAACTTCCAGTCCAATAGTTTAAGGCTATCACATGTAAGCAAAATTACACTATATGAGGGTCTTCCATTAACTAAGTTATGGATCACATGCACTTATCACGATAATGCTCCAATTTCAAAATTACTATATAATTTTCTAATATACTAATTATGTATTTAATTTGATTATGCAGGCCACACCCACTTGTGATTTTAACTTTTCTACAGAAACTTGTCAAGCTAAAATTTGAATACAGAAACTTGTTAGTCAAGTTCTGCAAGCCACACCCACTTGTGATTTTAACTTTTCTACATAACGATAAAACTTTTTTCTTATTTTTCAAGTTCTGTTCATAAAACTTATCAAAAAGGGAATACATAAAGAATCAAACAATCAAAAACACAAGGTACTAAAAATGTTGAACCATATACCTGGGTAAGCAGAGCATCATCAGTGGGGAGCCTCAAATCATCCTTGGTGTTTCCATTTTCAGTCAAAAGACTCACCTAAACAAAATGCAAATTTCAGTTGCCATTGTGACATTTTGTCGAACACCTTGCAGACACAAAAAGTATATAGCATGATTCATCTTTGCTATACACAGAGAAACTATACAGATGAGAGAAAAAACAATCCAAAATCAGCAAATAAAGATCAAACCATTTCAGAACTGAATTCAAAACTAATTCACTCATTAGATCAGAGAAGAACCAGATTTCAGAAAAATAGAGAGAGAAATGGAAGTTTTCTTACCTGTGATAATGGTGGCCCGGAGATCCTTGGTCGATCTAGAGATAATTTCAGAGAGATCAAAGAGGAAGGGCTGAGTCGATCAAAGTGGAATCGCATACGCAGTGACGGTGGTGCTCGTGTGCGATGGCAGTGATGCTCCTGTACTTGACGACGATGGAGACAAAGGCGAGAGAGAGAGCTGGAGGAGGGCAGAGGCATGAGAGAGTGAGAAAGAGAGAGAGAAAATAAAGAAGTAATAAAGTTTCCCTCCGAAGTTTCCCTCAGATATGAAGCACAATTTTTAAATTTTGTAATTATAATCGCCGACTAATATTTAGTCGGTAAAAGTAAAATAACAACAGTCTAAAAAATTAAAATAAAAGTAACAAATATATTAAAATTATATTTAAATAAAAATATAAGTAATAAAATTATAAATTAAAAAAAAGGCAAAAATTAAATTATCTTAAATATTTGTCCTAATATTTTATGTACTGAAAAATATAACAATATATTTTAAAATTTTATATCCTTATATTTTCTTATATTCTTATATTTTATATATATATAATAAGAAAGAAAAGAAAGAAAGAAAATTAAAAAAAAAGAAGGAAATTTTTTTTTTTTTAAAAAATTATGAGCCAACTCAACCCGTGTTTTTTTTTTTTTTTTTGGACTCCTGCATGACTAACTAGGCACTAATCAATTTGATTTAGAATTTTAGAACATGCAATATGTATATTTTGTCATAGATAAAGACAGGTGAAGAAATCATGTGTCAAGTGGATTTAATTAATTTATTATTCAGTTGTAACTAGCAGTCAAAATCATTTTCTCAAGCATATCTTAGCAGTCAACACTACAAAAAATACAGCTTTTAGTGGCGTTTGTAAAACGCCGCTAATTATCTCAAAAACGCTGCTAAAATCTTTGGTGACGTTTTTAGTGTACGCCGCAGATACGGCCATCGTTATATATTTGTGACGTTTAAAAAACGCCGTTGTAGACCTTATTGCGACGTTTTAGAAAACGTCATGCTATAATCACCGGCGGTGATTCCTTCCAGCGAGATGACGTCATATAGACCCTATAGCGGCGTTTTTTACAAAAACGCCACTAAAAGCACTTTTTTTTTTCTTTTTTTGGGTGGGGGGGAATGCAACCTAATGAAATTTTAACCATTCGACAATAATATTTTATTTGCTACTAGCTAGAATTCTCCAAACCCTGCTTCAAAAAATACATATATTCAACCAAACACATCAAAATTGAAATTACAAAAATCGCAACCAAATTCATATACTCCATCATCATCTCAAAATTTAAAATACTAAGAAAAGAATAAATGTAACAAACAAAAAAACAATAAAATTAGTAGCAAATAAAATATTATTATCATGTTATTATCATGAATACTCAAGAGAAAGTAACCCTTGAGTGTAAAAGCCAATACAGCACATGTTATTATCATGGACCCATATAATTTTAAGACAGTACACCGAAAACCAACAGTGATAAAAAAAAAAAAAGGTTAGTCAAGCAAATATCTCCATTTAATGCTCTCCAGACACGTAGTTGTTCCTTGAGAAATATGGACATTGGATCAGGTAGCTACAACAACTCATAAATAAATAAATAAAAATAGATTAATCTAGTTGTTAAAATTTGGCTATGGCCTGAAATTTGTACAGTTGTTTTGCCGGTTTTGGATATATGCTCATGTTCTTCACCCTCAAATGAAAACCTGGGAGTCAAATTAAAGAAAAGAAAATCCATCAGAAAAAGCATAACAAATGCAAAGAAAACTCGCTAACACCACAAAGCAATTATTTATCTTTTTCCAGAAAACCAGTAAAAAGGATCCCCAAAAAAATTGTCATTTCCAAAAAATTATAGGGTTAATCACACCAATACCTCCTCAACTATTAAACAATACCATCAGTTTACCTCCTTTATACTATGTCAACATTGACATGTAGTATCACCAACCAATAATAAAACTACATATGGGATGGTGAACCCCACTAGTCAAATGTAACAACCCATTCCAACATAATTTTGTAACTACTGCATAGCGGGACTAATCATACTTACATGGTAATTTATAAAGTCGGTGATGGCATGCTATCACCATTGTAGCGAATTTTTTTCTTCCAAGAGAGGAATTTACATGGTTTTATAGTTGAGGGGTTAGACTGTACCGGTTCATAGATGGGGGGAGTAAACCGATATTCGTTCGGTTGAGGGAGTCTTAGTGTAGCTAACCCTATTTTATAACCCGAAACAAATTAAGGTCAAATCATCATAAGATGGATCAGCCAAAGAAATCTCCACAACTTAAGTGAAAATTTCTTGAATTGATGCAAACTGGTAGACATACACAAAAGTCACCCGGGCTTGACTGAAAAGCAAAAGCAACATTACCTGAATGTGTGAAAAAGCCTGAACAAGTTCACTTAATCCAACATTGAATCAGCACAGTAACTAACTGTATATTGTTCCTAAGAGACAATGGTAGCCTGGTATTCCAGAACCAAATGAGAAGGTCACACTTTCAAGGAAAAAGAATCAGAGAAATAGTTCTTAAAAGGGGTCCAACATACCATGCAACCACCAACTGCTATTGGAACATCTTAGAATATGCTTTTCTCTCCAGATCTCGTCTATCCGAAATCTGTCCCAATTCCAACAATTCAAACCCCAGTAGCTGATAAGCATTTAATGCCATAAAAAATGTTTCAGATTTTATGCAATCATACTAACCTTCTTTGCAGCAGCCAGCTCCTTTTTTATTCCAGCTGAAAGATGCCAGAAACCAAGTCAGTTATCACGTTTCAAACCTCAATTCTATGAAAATTACGAACTCCAGACTATTAAGTATCTAGTTTAGTACTTGAAAACTGTCATTCAAATTTCAAAATGACTTTCAGTAAGACCTCAGCCATCTCCCAAAATAGATTAATGTTATGGTAGAATACAAAAAACCCATAAAAAATAAAACTTGTAGCCCACAGAGAAGGTAATTATTGCCAAGTTATTTTTTTTTTCTTTTGCTATTTAGGATTTCATCAGAGTGAAATTCATAATGTGCTGAAAGTTTTGACAATGCATTATATTTATAAAAAGTTCAAGGTTAAAAACTGTCACAAACCATCATTTGGCTCCAATTCCAATGCCTTCTTGAAACTTTCGACAGCAGCATCTATATCATTAAGTGCCATGTATGCCTGACAGTTCAATACAACGACAATCATAAGGACTACAAATTAGTCAATAGGACAATATGCAATCCACAATGCATACAAAGCCAATTGGGAGTTGGCCAGGCAAGACAGCTCTTAACACTACCTAATACTCACATAATTTAGTAAACACATGAAGTTTGTGACAAATGCAACTAAAAATTTTAGTAGACATTAATAGATTCATGATTAAACATTTAGCACACTTGGGGTGCGAGTGGATGTCCTTTGAAAATTGAACAGTTTATAGCCTATATTCAATTATACATAGAGCTTGAAGACACATATTATAGCTCAAGTGCGGCTACCAAAGAAAATTGCAGTCAACATAACATCTAATGTTATGCAATAATAATTTTATAAATTTCAATTAAGAAACTAGCTGTAATGATGTAACCATTCAAAGCGATGTTTTGAAAACCAGAATACATCAACAAAGCAACCACATAAATGGGGCAAATTTTATCCAGAAAACCCCTCTTCTCTTAGCAGTTAATAACATCATCATCATCATCATCAGTTTATGATGCAAATAGCAAAATATTCATGGATTCCTCTCTAATTGGTCTCAAGTATCTCTTTAAAAAGAAAAGACAGGTACAGACAGATAGCCAACCATTGCTTTAGCAATTAATGGGCCTATTGAGCACATTTAAACAAAAACATGAAGATGGAAAAACATTCCAAAACAGGGGCCACATTTTAATGCTTTAACAACATTTGAAAATATATTGACAGTGTTTCCACAATCTAGCTGGAAAACAACCTAAAATAACCTTCATTTAGCAACAAGCAAAGAACACTGAACATATTAGAGAATCCCAAAACCTTCACAATGATATGGTAAAATGCAAGACCACAAAGTAAACAAATACCCTTTTAAACAATTATGCATGAGTTGCATGTCTATAAGGCCTAGTTTATTGCTTATTAATAAAATGAACAAGATAAGTGCAACTCTACTTAACTCAAGCAGACCAAATGACAGTACTAGGCTTGCTCAAACTCAACATTTCTTAATTTTTCTCAGGTTCCAAATATCTCATGTCTTCTCATCTCTTACAAATTCCTAGTATTGATTTCCCTATGCTAGTGCAACTCTCAAGAAAATGGTGCAAAAATGGAACTACCTCTAATGGCGACCCCTCTGCGAACTCTGCAACCAAAACAAGCAATAAGCTTCATATATATATATATATATATACATACAATACACTTGAGAGACATATCTTAGAGTTGAATGAACAAATTTAAAATACTAGTAAAAAGCAATGTCTTGTGCTCTATTTGGCAAAACGAAGAAACAAATTCAACATTGAAGTCCAAAAAAAAAAAGAGAGAGAGAAAAAATCCTGTAAAACAGAGCATAAACCACAGCTTGGAGCTTTAAAATCTTGATTTTCGATCAAAATCTCCAAAAACAAAGTATAAAATCAAATGCTAATGAAGGACTGGTTTTTCTTTTTGTGAAGAAGATAATCCGAAAACGGAAATCAAATTTTTAGTTGATGAAAAAATATGTGATTTTGATTAGGTTTGCATAAATGTGCTTGACATATCGTAACTTACCTTTTGGATGAGTTTGACCTGGCCAAACTCGATTAAGCTCTTCAATGGTGGTGTATAGACTGAAGCAGAGATCAAATGAGCTTGAAATTGGTCTACTTGAAGCAGAGATTTATAAGGCTGAGCTGTTGATGAAGGACATAGCACCACGCTTCAAGTCCCTGAACTAGTGTTCTGTGATACCGAGGCTGTTGGATGCAACTCTCGATCGGCAGCAACATCTCTCTATCACCACTCCATTCTTTCCATTTGCTGGTGATCAAGAACTCCATCCCAATGCATGGACCATAAAGATGAAGAGAACGAAAATTAGAAGAAAGAAGCAAAACACAAAAGGCAAAAGCAAAAAATGCTAGATTTCAACCAAATCGAGTGAAGAAGAAATTGAATTTACAAACATCAACGTAAATACATTCCAGATCGTTACTTTTTAGCCATGAAACTACACAGATCTTCGGTGAATTCAACAAATCCCTTACCTCTGGCCAAACTCGATTGAGCTCTTCAATGGTGGTGTATAGACTGAAGCAGAGATCGAATGAGCTTGAAATTGGTCTACTTGAAGCAGAGATTGATAAGGCTGTGCTGTTGATGAAGGACATAGCACCACGCTTCAAGTCCCTGAACTAGTGTTCTGTGATACCGGGGCTGTTGGATGCAACTCTCGATCGGCAGCAACATCTCTCTATCACCACTCCATTCTTTCCATTTGCTGGTGATCAAGAACTCCATCCCAATGCATGGACCATAAAGATGAAGAGAACGAAAATTAGAAGAAAGAAGCAAAACACAAAAGGCAAAAGCAAAAAATGCTAGATTTCAACCAAATCGAGTGAAGAAGAAATTGAATTTACAAACATCAACGTAAATACATTCCAGATCGTTACTTTTTAGCCATGAAACTACATAGATCTTCGGTGAATTCAACAAATCTCTTACTTTGAGCCATGCCGCACCCAAACACGAAGAAGAACGAGCCCTAGATCGATTTAAATTACAGAGATTCGAACAATAACTAAGATAAACGCTCAAATCAAATACAGAACCAGCTTTTCAAGATCAAAATGACGAAGAATCGATCCAGATCGAACCACCAAGTGTCGATCGCTCTCTCTCTCTCTCTCTGTATCTCTCTGAAGTCGCCTCTCTCTCTCTCTCTCTTGGACTCCCACGACTCTTAAAAGCAAAAAAGAATTTTTAAAAAAAATAAGTATTTTTATCTAAACTAAACTACACCGTTTTAACCATAACCCAACGTTTCAAAAACGTTGTCCTACCATTTATCGATGACCGGCGTGTAGAAAACAAAATCGTGTGTTAGATTTTCCATATTTTACAGCGTTTTCAAAAACGCTACTAAATAAACGTTGTTGCATCTCCTTTTTCTTGTAGTGATATTTCAACTAATAAAAAAATTAAGAGTATGATTGGAATTACTCTGAATGATTTTTTGACTGTTGACCTAAAATAATAAGTCGCCAAACAGGAGTTTTTGACTTTTGACCTAAAATAATAAGTTGTCAAACAGGAGTTAAATTGAAGTATGCATTACGGAATCTAATCACCATCTGGGATCAATGGCCCTCTTTTGTGTCAAATAACGATGTGTTGTTGTGTGTGGGGATGTAATCGATTTGTTATGGTTAGAATTTAGATTAAAAAAATTATCATTGATAATGTCAGTTTAATTATTTTGAGTATTGATACGGACTGTTTCTCTTATCAAACTATATCAAACAACACCAATTGAAACAGTTCAATTTATTTTGGTGCTATTTAATCTGTTTAAGACTTTTCAAATTTAAGTCACTTTTTCTAGTAGTTATTAATCTATGTAAAAATAGTAAATTATGCCATTGGTCCTTCTGATTTAAGTGAAATATCACTTTAGTCTGTAATTTTAATTTGAATAATTTGATCTCTACACTTTTAATTTTGTTTTAATTTGGTCTCTCCATCACTTGTCATTAAAATTTAGAATGAAAAACAAAATTAGATGGAGCAAAGTGAAATTCAAAACAAAGTATACGGACCACTGTCTCAACAAAATCAAAAAAATTTAGAGACTAAATTGTTAAAATTGAAATTACGAAAATTAAAGTGGCACTTCACTCAAACTAGAGGGACTAGTGGTTTAATTTACTCGTAAAAATATTGAATTAGTCAGTTTGTCAATCACTTCAAATATATCTTATCTATCCATTTAATAAAAACATTACAATTCCTAGATTAACAAAAATGCAAACAAAAACACATATTAATAAATACTAAGATTTCAAAAATAGTGAGTTGAAGTTAATATTATGCATAAGAAAAATGTTTGAGACGCCTAATTTATAACTTCTAAAAATCATAATGTGTCTAACGAGCATTAAATTTTGATTTGTCAAACATTTCATCATGTAGAGTCTAATTTCAATACCACATCATTAGGGATAATTTAAGAATGATAAATTAGAGGGATGTAGTATTGTTGTATAATAAGTTACTAAGTTAGGCGAGTTTGATAATCTGATTTAACACTCAAAAATTTAAGTGTCTCTTAAAATGTAGGCTCAAACTAACGGAAGAAAATTTTAAATCATATAAAGCTTATTTAATTCTGACTGAATTTATAAATATTAAACATAAGTATCAATATACACTATTATATACTCACCACCACCATCATCACCACCACCACCACTATCATGCCACTACCAACACTATCGCAGCCACTGCCGCTGCTGCCGCCACCACTATTGCTACCACTACGACTACCACCAACACCATCATGTCGTCGCCGCCGCCACCACCACTACCACCACCACTACTACCATATTCATCACCATTGTTATTGTTGCCATAAAACAGCACCACCATTTTACTACCACTACTACTACACTACCATACCACTGCCACTACCACCACCATCAACGTTATAGCTACCACCACCACCATGCCACTACCAGCACTGCTAAAAGGTTGACTTTTGCCGACTAAAATTAATTTTGGTAGACAATTCCCACACTTTTGGCGACTAAATTTGTTTTGGTAGCCAAAAATGGTCGGCAAAAATGTGTTTTCTTGTAGTGAGTATATTGAAAAAGTATGGGTGTCGTGATCTCAAGAACTAAAAGACTGAGTTGTTAAAATAAGTATATTGAAAAAGTATAAGTATCGTAATCTTAAGGACTAAAAGACTGAGGCCCCGTTTGGGAATAGGCTAATTTAGTAACTTTTTGGTTATTTGGCTAAAATATGAACTAAAAAAAATTAGTATGTTTGGGATAACTTTTTAGCTTTTTACAAAAAGAAGTGCAAAAAGTAGAGAGAAAAGAGAATCTTTGACTTTTTGGTATGGGTTGTTGGCTTTTTGACTTTTTTAGTAATTTTTTGACTTTTTGACTAAACCGACCCTTTCCAAACGAGGCTTGAGTTTTTTAAATTTTAAAAATTATTTCTTAAATTAAATCAAATAAGAAGAATATTTCTAAATTATAATTGATTGTAGTTATTGAAGATTTGATTAGCACTTATCAAATGGTGGGGGATGTTGTTGGTTTCTCCAAGTTCTATGAGCTCATTGTTGTCTTGGTGGCAAGGAATTCCAGTTAGGTAAAAAAAAAAAAATGGGGTCATTTGGGAAACGATTCCATTTGTGATCCTCTGATTGATTTAGTTCATTAGAAATGATTTGGTGTTTAATAAAGTTCAACCCAATTTGGTTCTTCTTCCCGAGCTCATAGTGACGAGAATGGCTTATTGGGTTAAATCTAAATCATGCTGCTCTTGACTTTTTTTATTTTTTTTGATCGGTAAACAAAAATTATTATTGTAAAATAAAAGTACAAGATGTACAAAAATTACATCATGAAGGCGCAAAAGGTCAGGAAAAAAGTATCATAACTTAAAGGTCATATCTCAACTAAGTTGAAACATGAAATAAACCAGTCAAATACAAAATTAATGACCAAAAGGGAAAAATGAAACAAAGCTAGTCAAATGCTTCTCTTGACTTTGGTGTGACCAATTTTGTGTTCCAACTACAGCAAATCAAGAAGGTTCTTTGAGATTTTTTAACTGTTACAGATGTTGTTGCCATCGAGGACAAAGTTTCTTTTTTCGGGTCGAGATTTTAGTTTCATATTTTCTTAGTTTTCAGGGTTTCTCTTCTTTGTTATGCCTTGGTGTTGCATAGTTTAATGCGTTATGTGTTTTTGTTAGGATTAGTCCATCCATATGATAAAGGTGAGTCCCATACGGTTATGAGGTTGGTGTATATACGTAGGTTAAGATAGTAGAGTTCATAATCTACTAAGAAACCTAATATCTGTAGGATTTAATTACTTAATTGTATGGAACTAGAATTCTTATGGGTAGACTATTATAAATAGTCACGTAGACTATAGGATTTTTCAAGAGAGATTGAGAGAGTAGTGAGGAAAAAAAATAGAGACGTAAGGGGGAGATAAAAAAATACCAGGTTAGCAAAGGCTCAACTACCTTTGAGCATGAGGTTCAGGTAGTGGTGTGGGTTTTGAGTATTTTGGCCATCTCACATATATTCTCTATTTTATTCATAATGAAAGCTCTCTCTCTTGTGGATGTTGGCAATTTGGACCGAATCACGTAAATCTGTGTGTAATTGTTTTTTTTTCCCTCTTTGGTGTGTGAGTGGGTGTGCTTCCGTTGGCATTGGTAGGATGTGGTATAAATCCCAACAAGTGGTAAACATCAGCAAAATGACCCATAGTGGAAGAATGCATGTATTGACAAGCTTTGTTGACAAAAATGGAGAGCTCAGGTCTGGTAATAGTAAGGTATTGAAGGGCACCGACAATACTGCGATATAGAAATGGTTGGGTACAAAGAAGAGACTCATTAGTAGATAAGGGAGATTTAATGGAAACTGGAGTAGCACAAGGTTTGCAATCAATCATCCTTGATTTGGCAAGCAAGTCTGTAGCATACTAGTGCTCGGAAAGGAAGAAACCAGTCGAAGTTGGTTAGACTAATATGCCAAGAAAATAGGAAATATGACCAAACTCTTTCATAGAGAAAACTTGGTGCATATGAAATAAAAGTTGTTGAATATAGATAGGATCAGAACCTGATAAAAAAAAATAGATAGGATCAGGACCTGTGAGAAGAATATCATCAACGTAAATGAGAAGATAGGTGGTAGAAGATGAGGTTTTATGAACAAAGAGAGAAGAATCACAAAGACTTTGGGTGAAGCCTTGATAAAGGAGGAAATAACTAAAAGTAGAATACCAAGCACTTGGAGCTTGCTTTAAACCACAAAGGAAACTAGTGAAAAGTGGAAAGGATCAACAAAGCTTAGTGGTTGTTACATATAAACCTCATTTGCCAACTTTCCATGAAGGAATGCATTAGAGATGTCAAGTTTTTTAATAGGGCAATGTTGATGTAAGGCAAGACATAAGAAAATATGAATAGTGGGTTGCTTGGAAACAAGACTAAAAGTTTCTTGAAAATCAATGACATACCGTTGGAAAAAACATTTGGCAACCAACTGAGCCTTATGCCCAGCAATAGTCCCATCAGAGGCTCTTTTAAGCTTAAAAACCCATTTGCATCTAATGGCCTGTTTAGATGGAGATGGAGAAACCAATGACCAAGTCCCTTGTTGCTGAAGAGCATTGTATTCATTAAGCATGGCTTAAAACCAAACTAGAGAAATCAAAGCACTTTTATAAGAGAGAGGCTTAGAATTTTATGGACAAGCTAGTTTAGCAGCCAAGCAAACAGGTCTGGTTTTAGACCTAGTCTACATAGGATGAAAATTAGTAGTGGGAGGAGAGAAAGGTAACGGAATTGAAATAGAATTAATAGGGATTGGCTCAAACACAGGTGGATTTGTGGTGGACGGGGGCTGGACTTGCACAAAAATAAGATCAAATGTAGGTTGTAGTGTAGCAGATGGATGCTGTTGTAGCGCAAATATATACTGCTGCAGTGGCTTAGAGGTATGCTGCTGCAGTGGCTCAGAGAGAGGTGGCCTAGACTGAGGCCTGAACTAAGGAGGTGATGACCTAGATTGGTGTAACAATGGCCCAGACTGCAGAGGCAGTGACACTGTAGACGTCCCCCAAACGCCCCGGGAGGGTTAGCTCCCGTTCTGTTCATTTGGGGTCACTACAGCTCGGACT